ATCTCTTTACTTTTAGCCCTATAATAAATATAAAAAGCATAAACTATAAAAATAATAATATCTAATATTATTCTAATTGCTTCTCGGTTTTGCGCCGACTGGAGATACATCTAGCAACCTCAACACGATTTATACAGGATTGACCTGCAAATTCACATTCCCTAGGCACATCAAGCGATCTCGATTCACAGGTAGCTAAGCCTCTACTTTCTTATCCTATTAGTAATTTATAGCTGAGGCAAGGATAAGGCATCAAGTATTGCCCTCATCGCTGCATCTAGTATCTGCTCAATCTGACCTTTCGGAAAACAAGCCATAGGACATCCAAAACTATCACAAGTCACAGCAAATAATTTATAGGAGAACTGATTAAGAAGAGAACATTATGCTTTCGTGTCCTTTTCACTCAAGGCTTTATCAAATTATCTCGACATGTAGAGCATGAATATGACGGCTCTATGGAAATGAGGTTGAATGATATGAGGCGTTGACCTTGGCCTCGGTACTAGCATATAGGCCGGAGACAAAGAAATGGAACCCGCCAACAGGCAGAATGGCCAATGCGATTCTTTACGTTGGTCTCGTAGTTCAAGTACGTGTATACTTATCAATTCAGAAATTCTCTAATGGTTGTGTGCCACGTTGTATGACCCAAAGAAATTCCAAGGAAAACAAGAAACAAGACAGTCTATGGGGAGGAGATAGACAGTCAAATATAGTGATTCATCTTTGCTCCATCCTCCATGCCCGGAAGGCATTCGTTTCGCAAATTCCACGCCCTTTCAAATTCCTTAAGACATGGTTTTCTTCCATTGCCCTTGACCAGCGCCAGTGCTAGTTCCGCCACGCTGATCTAGTACGTCGTGCATGTGAGCCCAAACTCGCGACCCTGTGTTACTTTTGCCGCTTAGCAGCTGCTTTTCGACGTGCCGGTGGGATTTTATCGTGCCCTTTGCTAGCGACTCGATCACCTCGTCTGAGAGCTTCAACCCGGCTTTCGCGACCGTGTTGGACCGAAACACCTTCAATTCCATGCCTCTCGGTTGCTCGAACATGACTCCAAGAGTGGCATGTGACTACCGTTCGAAATGGGTCCAGACGCTATAGCAGGTGAATGACCGCCGCAGTCACATTTAAGGACTCTGCTGACACCTGCTCTGCCTCCGCCTCTTTGCTCGCACGGAAGAATACTGTCTATTACCCATCTGCGTTCTCTCTTAGTCGTCAGCACCATCTTGAGCCGCTCGCGATATTCCATTGGCTCCATCAGCTGCGTTCTTTCTGGGGTTCTGGGTAGACCAATACTGCGGCACCCGAATATCCTTGCGATTAAAGAGACTCTTGCGTGCCGGTCCTTGCTTCCTCACATTCAGCTACAACAACCGGACATGTTATTCATATGATGTTGGATAGAACTTCTGACAGCTTCTGATGTGATTCATGAGAGCCGCTGCATGGGGCACATCTTCCTAATCATTTCCACGCATCTACTAGGAAGGTAGCCTCGTACACACTTGCCGCAGCCTTGAGCTCAATCGCACTGATACATTTCAGTTCTTGATGTGTTGGCAGCTATAGCAATATTTTGCCCGGTCGCGACATTCAAGCATTGTTGTGGTACCAAAATCTCATCCAGCCATGGAAATCCTTCGCCGATGAATTTTTTTGGCTTTGGGTGCTTTCAAGTATATGACCATGGAGCCGTACAAATTGAGGTCGCTTTGCCTGCTGAGCCATGCTAATCTCGCCCACTCGTGCCATCCTCTCGGCAAAGAGGCTCGGCGACTTCTACTTGAACGTCGTTGATCTCGTTTGGTATTACATTGCGGCTGTCAATGTCCACTTCAATCGGGGAAAAGCCGCCTCTAGGACGCGTGTTTCGGTGTCCTTTGGGCCCTTAAGTACGGCTCGACGTCATCCCATAGGACTATCCAGTTCGATCCGGGTGTGACTCTCCACTGTCGCTCGTATCGTGCCGGTCAAGAGCCTGTTATCGTCATGTATTCGCGAAACAAGTATCGTGCAGTACAGAGTCAACCGTGGAGACGGGAAAAAGGGTCGAGGTCGCAGTTTCGGCAGCGACTTGAGGCATACATGTCGGCAGCACGTGAGTGTTGGGATTCGTCCGTTGCACTCATCGCGATAGTTCTGAGCTGACCATGGACCAGTTGTACTTCTTTCGGTGATCTGTTCCTCCATCTCCTCCACGGTCTCTTCCAATTTCGTAAGAGCCTCCGACAGTCCATCATTGTTTCCATTTGTCTATTCAGCGCTTCCTGCGATCCTGGAGTTTCCATTCGCGACCCCCGGGAAATCCAGTGAGTAGCATTGCCCTTCCATCGCTACTGCAGCAACTCTTGTGGGCTTCTGTCGGCTAGTCTTTTGGTTGTTCGGTCGGTACGTTTCGCGTCGTCTTCCTGGTAGTCGTTCCCATGTTTGCGTTTCTTCTAGTTGCGCGTGGCGTCTCGAGTTTGCTCATCGATCTTACCACTCGACTCGATCTTTTTGACATCGAAAAGGGGTATCATCATGCCCCACCACGATCTCCGCTCCTATTGGATCCGCCATAGTAGCAAGCTGACCAACATCGATACCTAACTATAGGTTAGGTAGGTATCAGTTGTCGTCTGTGGAGTTTTGTAAATGTATCTAATGATATGTTAATAAACAATTACAATGCCTATAAGAGGAGACTTTACAATGAGGGTACTCTGGTCGCGTAAATTCTTGAGAAACATTGAGAATTGTATTCTTGTTGGTTCCTATTTCGCAAAACAACTATGCTAGCCACATTGTTGTCACACGCGTTTCAATCATGAGGCCCCGCCAGCTCGCATTGTGCATGCATCCAACAGAGCATCAAGCCTTGTAGCCTTATAGTTACATTTCTCGCCTTATAAATCACCAGCCTTATCCAGTGTGCGGTCTCTAGTGCCAATGGTATTTCCGTTCGTATTTAGTGCACAGTTACAAGTTCAACTCTTGTTGCGGTGCGATTTAGCCCAGTGCGCAAACCTTCTGTAATTACAAGCCTCTTTCAAGAGAATGTAAAAGTGATTTCGTTTTGCGTAATTTCAATCTATAAGCAGCAGGTCCTGCGGAAAACGCATTGAGGCTCTGCGTTTCGTGACTGCCTATTAGCAAACAGGCTATCTTGCACGATGGGCATCAAATCACCATGGCCCAGCAATGAAATTGCCTTACAGCGCTGGAAATTATAAATACAGTTATGGTTTTGGACTTGTTTACTAGATCTTGAGTTCTGCTTGAAGCTACTCTAGCAACAACTCAACTTCATCGTTAACGTGTCACATCTGAACAAGATTAACAAGCAATTCTGCTTCAATACGACGGATAGCACCCGAGACTTCTTTCCTGTCTTGTGGAAACCCACGGCTATTTACTGGTTATAACGATATCGCGATGTGTACGGAAGAAATATACACTTACGTCTTCGTTGATGCACGAATGACAATACACGAGCTTACTGAATGCAACCATGACGATGCAAACCAGTCTTGCACCACATCTATGACTATTGTTTACCCTGAAGAGTGTATTTCTGAATCCACTCTGAAATAGATACTGTGGAAGATGGGTGCTATTAGCAGAGAGAGAGAGAAGTCCACCGTTCAGAGGCTCTTCATTACCTTTGGGTTGGGTTCGGGGCTAGCCGGAGTGAGCAACGCTTTTGTTCGTGCAATAGTACATTACGGAAGCTTTGGACTTGATATTGACAGGTTGGCTTCAACCCGGACATGAACCGTCCGAGAGTATGTGCATAAGAGACTCAAGTGGAATGACGATCTCACTCCTGATAGCCCACACCACGGTCACTCAAGGCAAGCTCATTCGGTTTGAAGGTCTAGGGAGATTTGAAAGCATTTTTATCGGATTGAACATTGGCCCGTACCTGAATCCATGATGCTGTGCTATTTACGGCCATTTTCTTAATTCATGGACAGCTATTCTCCTTACTATCATTTAGTACCATCAATTTCCACTGATTGTGATTTCCTGTTGTGCATTGTAACCAGAATACTACCAATAATTGACTAGGTATATATCGTGTTTCTCTATTCTGTTCAGGCCAAACTCTGGCTGGCATCGTACTCACGATGGTATGCAGTGTTGTCACTCAAAATGGGTGAATAGAAGTAGGAGCAAACTTTAGCGTATTGTCATGTATATGGGACAAGACATAGCGACTGCAGACAGTTTCTTCTTTAAAGTAGGCTGGTGGCTAGATGTGTGTTGCTTCAGAACGATGGTAAAATAGTGTGTCCTAAGGTTGAATAATGCGCTGATATCATTATTCGTTACCGTCAACAATTCTAGGAAATCTAAGGACGCCCTTACAGAGGAGTGCCAACAACTCTGCGAAGTCTAATATAAGTATTTATAATCTTTTGTCAGGGTTCCCTCAAGTGACCTTCATATAGCTTAATATCACTAACCTGAATTCATATAGCAAAGCTCTATGGTGCAAGCATTTTTAACGTTTACCCAGTCAAGATGATGCAAATGCCTGCTACTATCGTGTAAATGGACCCATAGTAACGATTATTACTACTTTCCTCGTCGTAGTGGGCAACGTGAGGAGCATTGTCACGATGCAGCCAGATGGTGCGTGAAGTCCAGTCGTTACTCCACATCCGATACGGAGGCGGCGGAGCGGCACAAGCTGGTCTTGAACCCCCACTTCCTGCTCCGGTAATAATCGGTCTTGTGGGTCAAAGTACATCAAATTGAGTCGGCGATCTCTGCAGGAGTGATGCACTCGCTTTCAACGGCCAGCAGCAGGTTTAATAATGGATAGCTTTGCCTCCTTGAGCAGAGGAAATTCATGAACGCTAGGTCCCCTAATGAGAAGTGTGTTGCGAGTGGGGTTATGTTCAACGCTGGCTGTCCATCGCTGGGACAGACGGAATGCGGGCCTGTATACCGTACCTAGTGGAGAAGCTGAAAGATTTAGGGCTCGAGTACAAAGGGAACGAGGGAAGCTTAACAGCCACTACTGCACGGTGGCGGCAACAAATCCCCATATGCAGTGGTATACTTCGCTAAGCACGCCCTCCTGCTTCACCAAAGCTAGATAATGTGGGTTTTCACATGAAAGCTCAAAACAACAAGTGGATTTGGCACTAAAACACAACGCAAGTACGCGCTTCAGGGTGAGGTGTGTTCTACGCACACAATCGTTGTCGGAGAGGCTAGAAAGGGCTTACTTGAATGCTCTGACCTGTATATGGCTAGAATGCTGGCTTTGGAGTTTACCGATTCTCTGTGTAATTAAGGATCCAGGGCAGTATAAACAATCGACAAAACAGAACCTCTTCATGATTATGAGGTCGGTGATGAAATACTAACCGCGTCTTATTGGCCTTATAGTCACAACAGCGAGGGGGTTAAAAACAAACTCGGCCTGGAGCAGGGACTGGTGTGTGCAGATGATGCTCGTCATTGGCCCATCTACGACCTTGGATAAACGGTGGCGGGCGATAACTTCGAGGCGGACAACAGATGTGCAGGCGTTCGAAAGCCTCTGGCATAATGGCATGAAGACTCAGTTAGAACCCTCATACAATAGCCAGAGAGGTCCAGAAGGTTACAGCAGCCTACGATATTAGAGATGGTAGTGTGTTTGAGAATTATTACTATGCCGTTAGTGACGCTGCCTAAAAAGTGATCGAACGAGGAATCATATGGACGCCGAAGACGCCAGACTATCGGTGAGATCTAACTACTGCTGATAAGACTAAATATGTGTTACTCTATTGAACAATAGACCTTCTGAATAATGTAAAATGGTATCGATCCCTGAATGCAAGTCGTTATTGTAGCTGACTGTTTGGCATCTTCGTGGCCTCCGCCTTATTGATGTTTTCAAGCAAGTTGTTGACCGAAAGACTACCCCGACATCTAAGGCGCACAGACTCAATTGATACTTGTTGATGTTTCTGCTTGTGTATGGTTCAATTATAGTATAGCTCGTCCTCGCTTCTGTTGGGCGTAAAGACCCTGATCTCCAAGTTGCAGCACCCGGGATATCGAAGCCTATTGGTGTATCCTTTTGATCTTTGTATTGATATCACATTTTCTGATATACCATGGTACCAGATTCCAATCCAATGAGTACTCTAGCCACTGGCCAAAGTTTTGACGACACCCGTAACAACTAGAAGCCATCTGGCGCCATTCCGTAAAACAAGGACCGCATACAAACTGACCGCAGCAGGGCGAACTCAAGGCCGCCTCTCCACCACAGAAGTGACACTGGCTCGAACAATCGTCCGAACATTTTCCCATCACGTCCTGTAACATAGATGTATCCAAAGAACGACACGCGTGCTCAAGCTTGCCCTTCAAATCGTTGGCTAAACGTAGAGGTTTTAGGATAGTGTCATCAGACTGAAGCTGGGCTCTGGGTGCAGAGCTGGTAGGAAGCAACCGTTTTCGATCTCTACCAAGTGCCTCAAGCATGGCTCTGCGAAGATCATAAGTGCCACGATTTGTAGCGAGGATGATAAACATGACCCGTGGTCCATTTACATACCTGACATACCGAACACAAAGACCCTCTTTATCGCTGCTTTCTGCGCCAAGCTGAAACAAAAAGCATGCCACAAGGTTTTTCACGTCCAACTTCAGGCAAAAGCCATAAGAGCAAGCTGTAAAACGTGCGCAGCCATCTTCTTGTAGTAGGACTTTTTCGTGGTATCCGTTATAATCGAGTATCAAAAGATCCTGGAAAGTAAGATCTGCCGGACTGAAAGGAGAATTTATATAGAGGAGGCGGCGCGGAAATGTGTACATAGGAATAGAGATTTGCTCGCAGCTGAAGCAAGTTGAACTGGTTTCGAGCTGGGGACATCCTTCATGACAAAACTGGTATTCCCATGCTTTCTTGCGCACCTTGATGAGCGCTGGGTATGGGGTGGCATGTCGTATTGGTGTCCAGTTTAGCAGAAAATTAAACCAATTCTGAGATTGGCTAGGTTGGCTCTGCATATTATTAGGTTCATTGAAAGTAAAGAAAGGGAAAAGGGAAGCTGATGAGAATGCTCCTTTTATACCTTATAATGGACATATCGACTCTAGGATGCGAGCCTGTTTGCTAACAGAGCAGCGGTGTGCAAACCAGAGACCCTTGGCCTCCAGCATACTAATGCGGCCTGTTGATGTAACCATCGCGGTGTGTGGGTCACTGGACAAAACAAAAAGCAACGAATGAAAAGATTTTCAGTCGCTTCTTGGATTTCCTTGAAAAGTGAGTTGAGGAACCGATCGACTGGTGCCGACACAGTCAACCAAAGAGAGTGCGCCGGGATTAGTTCACTACTATGCCTAATTAAAATATATACAATCGCTAAAGTGCAAGGAGAAAACACCACAGCACTTTAGTTAGTCACGGCAAAGGCTAGACAGGACGCAACGCCACAGCATGATTACATGTGCCGAGATGCGAACTAGGATCATTGGTAGGGTAATTTCAGCACCACTTCAAAGCAACCAAATTTAGCAGTTTAATGCCCAAGGGGTCGGGCCAGTTATGCGGCCATGTCGGGCCTCAACACCATGATGACATGACAAAAAGACCAAAAACAAGTAAGTGAAGTGATTTCTCTTCCAGTGAGGCCAGCAGTAATTTCTAAGATCAGTAACCCCTCAACCGTTCGTATGGCATTTTGAGAGAAGGCGGCTCGTTTGCGTTGTTCTGAACCGATGCAAGGTCTCGAAGCTCGGCGCTCTGTTCAGTCCATGCGTATTTTCTTCACAATGACTGACTCAGATCCTTTTAGTGTTGAAATAAGTAACCTAGTTGCGAACCCTCCACCCATCACTCACCGGCGAGTTCCTAGCTGCTGGCCTCAAACTAGTCGATAACCGACTGTTCCCAGCCTCAATATGCTTTTATAACCGCCATTGTCTTAACTCCATCGTGTGGGCTCGAAGTCTAGTCACCATCTGTGTACAAGGTACATTAGCATGGCCGTAAATGGTTGTTTCCTATGGCATCATTCAGATGTGCCCAAGGAAGCATGCCGTATAGCCCCCTCCACGATTTGTCAATATGCTGTCAAACCATTGGCAGGTCGCAGGCTTGATCGTCCTCTGTTGCTGATGACCAATGACCTTGTGTCGTGGTTCGTCCGGTACATCAAATTTTACATCGCCCGGCATAGCCAGCGTTAAAGTTGAGGCGACATTGCGGCACGGTACCCTGTATACGCATCTCCATGTGTAGCGGTGTACCGTACTGAGCTGAGCACGGCCCCCCCAGCCCTCATCGACTCGTCCTTCGTCAAGACCAGATAGAGCCCATGGTAGGGTAACCGCGTCTTGACCACTTATCACTTACAACACATCCATGCAAGCGAGACTAGTGTTCGAAAATTTGCGCTGCTCAAAAGGCTTCAGGACGCCAGCATACTGACACCTGCTATCCAAAAGCTGCCAGGTCAGACAAGGTTCCACTGGATCCCATCTTTACATACCGACAACACTGTGAGATTAAATGCAGCTGCAGCCTGAAAACTTTTCACTGACTATCGCACCAGTCCACGATTCTGTCCTCATCTGCGGCCTTGCAAATTGAGGGCCCATGATCCTAGCATACGGAAGCCTTGTGTGTGTGGACTCAGCGCAAGGTTGGCCTCTGCAGATACGACCGATGTTGGTACGCCTTTTTTCAACCCAGAGCCTTTGCTCGCCGCCTCGTTACGATTGAGCGATCTACGTCAGCGTCAGGCTGTCACATTCAAGATGCCTTTGTACTTGATCTCAATTACAGCTACTAGCTGTTCACATTGTACACCTGAACCCTAGCAAGGGGGCCTCAATTAGAAATCAGCGTGAAAAGCCAGCGACGAGGAGAAGGAGATGAGGCTCTGCTGTGCGAACTGTTTCATGCCTTTTCGTTGCCTTGTCATCGAACCATGAGATGGAAATCCTATCACAGGAACTGAGGGCCTGCCCTTTTAGAATCCCCTCACTCAAATATTAAGGTATATCTACCCTTCTCATCTCGACCCTACTTCACCATTTCTTTCTGGATATCCATCCATCACTACAGTTCATTTGTTCCTTACCACATCATTTAGGACTGACTCCTGGTTATCTCTTTTAGCTCTGGTTTAGGACAAGTCACTTTAGACTATACCTAGCTCCTTTCCAAAACTAGTTGACTATTCTTATAGCATATCAAGATGCACGGGTACAGCTCGTCAGAAGAGTCCGACGACCTTCGTCGGCCTCGTACTCAACCTGCCACTACCAACGATGGCGAGAAAAAGAAGAAGAAGAAGAAGCTCCCGCCTCAACAGAGCATCAACCGTATCTGGAAAAAGTTCTCCAAGCGCAAGTTTCACAAGGCTCTCGCCGTCCTTCCATTCGACCCCGTGCAACCTCCTGCTACCTACCATTCCAACGAGCTCTTATCGGCCGGTTACGAGCGAGCTGCTGAGGAATGTCGACGCAAGGTTGAGAAGATCATCAAAGAATGCAAGCGAGTGAATATGCGATATCGAGATCCTGGTTGGGATTTGGTGGGTTTGCCATATGTTTGTAGTCTGTGAATTTGGCGCTAATGCATTTACTAGGATTGAGATCTCAAGTATGAGAAGGGCCATTGCTTGAATAACCTGGGATCGCAGAAATTCGAGCTCAACAGGACAACACTGCTGAGCTCAAAGGCTGCTGTCCCCAAGGCCGTCAAGCGCGTGCACGAGATCTTTGAGAATCCCACCTTCATGAAAGAGGTTAGTGGTGGTGACGTCAAGCAGGGCAGTCTAGGWGACTGCTGGATCATGGCTGGCCTAACAGCTCTGGCCAATGTTCCAGGAGGTCTACAGCGGATCTGCGTTGCCCATGACACAAAGATCGGCATCTACGGCTTTGTCTTTTATCGAGATGGCGAATGGATCTACTCCATCATCGACGATAAACTCTATCTCAAATCCCCCTTGTGGGATTCCCCTTCCATGCAGAGAGATCTTCTGCAGCAGATCGATCGTGAGGATAACGAGAATGTTTATCGCAAGACCTATCAGACTGGCTCCAAGGCTCTTTTCTTTGCGCAGTGCAGAGATCAGAATGAGACTTGGGTTCCTCTCTTYGAGAAGGCCTACGCCAAGGCTCATGGTGACTATGCATCATTGGCGGCTGGCTGGATCGGTGAGGGTGTCGAAGATCTCTCTGGTGGAGTTACCACTGAGCTCTTGACGTCTGATATTCTCGATATCGATGAGTTTTGGGATAAGGAGATGTCACGAGTCAACGATGAGTTCCTCTTTGGCGCTTCTACTGGTCTGCTTGAGCACGGATACGGTGAGCGCAATGGCATCTCTGAAGGGCATGCCTATGTCGTCATGGAGGCTCGTACCCTAAAGTCTGGCCAGCGCTTGGTCAAGCTTCGTAATCCTTGGGGTATGGTCCGCAAGGGTATTTGGGAGGGAGCTTGGAGTGATGGCTCTAAGGAGTGGACTGCCGAGGTGCAGGAGGAGATGGACCACAAGTTCGGCAGCGACTCTGTCTTCTGGATTTCTTACGAGGATCTTATTCGGAAATACTCTCACTTCGACCGTACTCGACTCTTCAGCGATCAAGACTGGCGATGCTGCCAGCGCTGGATTGGTGTTGATGTCCCGTGGAAAGCAGTTTACCATGAGAAGTTCCACATCAAGTTGACCCAGGACTCTCCTCTTGTTCTGGTTCTTTCACAACTTGATGGCCGATACTTCAAGGGCCTTCAAGGACAGTACTCCTTTCGTCTTCATTTCCGACTTCACTACGAGGACAGCCCTAATGCGGAGGACTACATTGTCCGATCTCACGGTAACTATCTGATGGCACGCTCTGTCACTGTCGAGCTGCCTGATCTTCCCGCTGGCAACTATGTTGTCTACCTCAAAGTCACTGGCGAGCGAGACTCCAATGGTCAGTCTGTCGAGCAGGTGGTCAAGCGCGAGGCCGCCGACAGGACCGAGAATGAGAAGCTTGCTCAGGTTGGTTATGCCTACGATCTAGCTCACAGCAAGGCCTGGGACCACATGGACAAGGTTGCCAAGCTTCGCCAGAAGAAGGATCAGAAAAAGGCTTCTGCCAGTCGCCAGAAAGAGCGTCACCGCATGTGGCAGAAGCGCTCTACCAACCGCGATGCCACCAAACAACAGACCAAGAAGAACGCGGACAAGAGAAAGCGACGTCGCGCAGAGTGGGAGGCCGAGCAGAACCGCCTCGATGAGGAGTTCAACGCCAAGGTCAAGGCTGAGCGCGAGCAGATGAAGAAGGAGAGACTTGCTAAGACTGAGGCTGAGAAGGCCGCCGAAGCTGAGAAGAGGGCTCTGGAGGCTGATGATGAGGCTCTGAGAAAGAAGACTGAGGAGATCAAGATTTCGGAAGACAAGGACGAGCCTGTCGTCGTAGATGAGCACCACAAGGATCATGACGACGCGGTTATTTCCGTATCAACGGGATCACCTCACTTGACTCCCAAGTCGATGGACTCTACAGTCGAGGGTGCTGAAGAGAAGCAGGAAGTTCCCCCAGTCAGTGGAGGACCTCCAGCTCCCGTTGAGCAAGAAGAACCTCTTCCCGTGCGCCCTCGCCCTGCCTACGATTCTGCAGGCGAGTCATCCGACTCTCCTGTTGAAGGCTGGGAAGCTACCTACAGCAGCGACGACATGGCTCGCAAGCCTCGCCTCACACAAGCCAACCAAGCCGCGGTCCAAGACGACTACGACTCGGAGGAGGAAAAGATGCCGGAGCCCTGGAACGCCATCTGCATCGTGGGCGTGCGCGTGTACTCCAAGGACGAGAAACTGGAGCTGCGCACCGTCATGGAAGGCGGTGAGCTTCTTGAGGGCGGCATGGGCTCCAAGGGCGCCGCAGATCTCGACAACGCTCAGTCCAACGCGGGCGGTGGACGAGCCGACGACCAGGATGCTTCCAAGACGAAGCAGGATGACGGCGAGGGGCAGGAGATACCTCCGGGTGTCGGTGAGGACAGCAAAGACACTGAAGATGTTACTGTCTAATGAGCAGAATGCTGTTTCAAAAGAGCTGAATCCATGTCAATTCTGCTTCCACAACCAGTCGGCTCTTCGACACCTATATTAGTTGGCGTACCCATCGCCTGGGAATGCGTATAGCTAGTTGCTGGGACACAAGTCGAGTTGGCGGGGCAATAGCTCATAAGAGCCACGACTAAAAGCCTTCGATGTTCAGGTGATCGAGATCTATTTACAGTCATTCCGAGTAGTGGTTTGCGGAGGGTGACAGCAGGTATCAGCAAGGCTGGATTGTTCGTAGGGAAGGCAAAGGGGTTCGTGGGGACGGACTGGAACCTATACTTTTTAGAAGCTATCGGTGTGGTTGTAAAGGATATTACGCCACTCATATAGATCTATAGAATTAATATATGCTCATTCCGTATTTTCACTAGTAACTACTCCAAGTTCGCTGATAATTTAAACTTGTTCCATTCTGACTCCACGCATACCATTTCCCTACTGCCCTATGTTCTGCGAGTTAAGCGGGAACTTCGTTTGATGTGTGCAACATCGCCGCTCAGTTCCTTTGTTCAACCCCTGAAGGTATCAAGTCCGAATTTAGGTCATCAAGGTGTAGCTTTGCCGGCGGCTATTTACGAACGTATCACTTGGTGAGAAATGGGCTGGTGATTCGACTTGCGGCAACCTCTTCAGTCTGTTTGCAGCTTTATATTGACATATCCCTCATGGCAAGGGTGCTGGCAAAGCCTGCTGTAGATCAGACGTAAAGGACCGCTAACTGATTGGTTTGTTCTCGTCGACACGCCCAGGCTTGCTGCCAAGTTTGAGGCCTTCTACATTGGTCTTTCTCATTGTACGAGCGTCGGCCCGGGTTCTTATCTGGTAAAGGGCCCAAGTTGCCGATGTCCCCTGAGTAGAAACAATGGGCCCAGCTCCTCTCCTCCAAGCGCTTTTAGCTTCAGAGAATAGACAATCTTACGAGAACTCCTGCTGGTGAAAGCGCACTGCCCACAATATTTTGGCGATGAAGACGTCAAACTCTGACCCAACATAAACGAAATTGACAGAGGGCTTGGGGTTAACGCGAGGCTGTCACCGGGCGCTGGCGGAAATATCTCGACACCAAGGACAGCACTCGCCTGGGCACATCTGACACTGCGCTTACGCATAAAACGTGCTGGGCACTTCTTCGGAGTTTAATGGGCGATTACGTTAGGCATTGGTAGTAGGGCTATTCCAGCTACGTTTAGAAGATACGCCTTCTCCGAATGACCTCCACTTGTTACGGCCCTTGAGTACCTGCCTCCCCTCCCTTCTTATCCAACGGCGCATGTTATCTGGGATACAGTAGTGAAAAGGCAGCCTTGGGCATGCATGAGTAAAAGTTAGTTATGCGCTACCGGAGGCTAAGCTCGAGCTTAATGACAACTGGGCTACTAAGGGTAGCCGCGCGCATATTGGTTTGTTTCAAATCGCATGCTGATTTCGCCAGCCGCGGCCAGGTGGAGATTCATTGGGAGGCTGACACTTTCTTTGTATAAGTGAGGGTCCGACTTATGTGATGTGTGAACATCTTGATACATTTCCAATCATTCAATATATTCTGCAAATCCAGGGCGCCCAAGAACGTGCTTTCTATTATACAATATTCAGACATGGCTTCAAGGAGTAGGGTTCCTTACAGCAACAAAAATACCACAAAGCAAGCAGCGAGAGCCCCATACGCTTTCAAATCGCGACGCGCAAAGGCGGCCAAAGCGACAGCAGTCTCGAGGAAAACTTTAGAGAAAAAGCAAAAGGAAGAGAAGCAACTGAAGAAATATATAATGGAGGCAAACCAGATCCAGTCCTTAGGCGATGGCGTGTTCATAGCCAAAATAATGCCTTATTTTCGACAGGAAATAAAAGGATCGGGCACTTTGTAAAAACACCCAGAGCAAGAAGGAATTCCATGGAAGGATTCGAAATACGTTGAACTAAGTATGCGGTACCTGGGGGCGAAAAAGGCGCAGTGAGGCAAAATGTTACAAGTAGCACTCAAGGTATGGCAAGCTACCGATGAAGGCTAATACGTATGTAATCCAACACCGTATATCACGATGAACCTGAGTGCTAATGGGAAATAGGCAACCCTCGTTGGCTCAATCTATAAAGGTCAACGGAGGGACAGCGGCATGTGGTAAAACGGACGCGAGACATTTCGAAAGCTCCGACAGGGGCGTATACAGCTTAACAGTGCAAACGAGCACACATTGTCCATGTCGAGAAATTCGGGCGGGGTACACTGCTCAATGAGCTACCACTTCAGCAAACTTCCCCTCGCTTTTCAAACAACTCTCCCGCCATGTCAATACATACGCTGCTCCGTCTTGCTTTCACCAATAAGCATATCGGTAGCAACAGCTAGAGTTACTCTCTCGTCTAGTTCTGAAGCAATCAGTATGTTACAGACTTGGACGCCGGCTATGTCTTGTTCGCTGACAGCCAATCCGGCCTCGAGTGCACCAAGTCCTCCGCCAGAGACGAGCACAGGCTCAGCGATGAGCTTCCGACAAATACTCCCTCGGTAACAGACTTGAGCGCTCCACGACGAGCTTCGAATCGCTTCGAGGAAGAGCCCACGGCAATTTCCAGCGGGAGAGTCTTGGGAGATGGCGTATTGTGATCCGGGTGGTATGGGATGGTAGACTTTCCTGGTTGGCGGAATCGGACGGAAATAGGATGTATAGGGTTTGGCAAGGCATTGAAAGCTTGTTGGCTTCTATGGAGTCAGTTGCCCAATCCATCATCATGACGATAATTGACAGTCATACGGGACCTCGCTCCGGAAACGCTCTACCCGCGATGTATCGTCTGTGCATTCTCCCTCCACAGTTCTTCTCCCCTCCTTCTGGACCGCAGGTAGATGCCATATTCCATCTCCAAGCGCTGTAGCCTTGTCTCAACGAGTTTCGTGCCGATACTCCTACAATGTGTTCGTGAACCTCCTCAATCGACCCGTTCATCTGTTGTACAAGTGATTTCGATTTGCCACTACGTCTCGGACGTAAACCCGCGGTGTCGAACAGGCGATTATTGGATCACTTTTGTAAAGCCTTGCACAACAGAGTCATCATCTCGTCTGGAAACAGGTTGGAGGGATGGATTTGGTTCAATTGTCCGTCGTCTACATCGCAAACTCGTCTCGAGTATCGCCGCGGCCGTGATGTTTGGCTAGATTTGGTTCTTCTTCTTGCGATTCTGTACAGAGGGTTTGTCAACTTTCCTCGTCAATGAGTCTAACTGACAATCCCTTCGATGGGTCGACCAGCACGCCTAGCGATGAGCTTACCATCACATATGTCAAGCAGAAAGGAAGCTGCGCATTCAGAGCAGGCTGAGCTCTTGGCAATGTGCAAGATCCTCTCGATACTGCAAGATCGCTCCTTTCTCGTACAATGTGGGGAACGTCCTGGCTTTCATCAGGCAGATTGGCGACCGGCCACCTGGAAAAGCGTGACGTCTAGAGACGCTGTTCAATTGCCTCGTGGCTGATGTGACTACCGGTATGCTCGAGGTACAAGGTTACCATCGGTTTGTGTACTCAGTAATGGATGTCACTCGTCATCGTCATCAGAACAGGTGACGAAGGACAAATGGAGGGGTTATTTGTATGGGACGGCCGTTCTCTGGGATAGGCAGGACACATTTGGCTATTTTCGGGTGTCAAATCGAGATGGATGGAGACAGGCAAGACCTGGAGATGTAGTGCATGAAGGGCCAGTAGCGCGGCCATCCGACGAGACACCCATGATGGTGGTGTGAAGTTGGAGAAGCATGTGCATGCAATGTCAGCAACAAGCCACGTGATTGAATGTCGTACTCTGCATTGAACCCCCTCTCTGTCCCGCCATCGCCATGGGACGTGAGGTGCCCAATTGGCCTCTGAGCGTTTTTGCTTTTTCCACCTTGAATCCAAGTTTGCCTGGCGCATTGGAAGCGTCAGATGCATATCCATGGAACTTTTGTAAGATATTCTGTGCCACCATTACAAACTACCTAGGCCATTCTAGAGACGGCGTGCATCTCATGCTGTATGATGTACCCATGTGTTTCAGCAGAATCGAACGGGGATACATCCCACTCTCTCACGCTCAATGCCTATATAACAGGATCAGTTCCCAAACTGTGTCTTTATCTCGCATGCCTGAGCGTCCAGCTTGTTCTCCGCATCATTGAGAAAGCCAAGTTTACATCTTACGAGGGCCATCACTAGTTCTAGCAAGGCACTCCAAGAACTAAAACGTCCCTTGACTGGTGATCCCTTCCCGAAAATCGAAGGATAGCAAGCGTTATGAGCAATCAGGCGTCCACCGAAACTCATCATATCGAGCCATGGAAACTCACGGCTTCTGAAGCTCTTGGGAAGATCCAGGCAAATGAGACTTCAGTCCAAGAGTATGCCGAGTCCTTATTTGAGAGAATCAAGGCACGCGACGAAGACGTCAAAGCGTGGGCTTACCTGGACGAGAAGAGGGTCATGCAGGAAGCAAAGCTTCTAGATGAGATCCCTAAGAAAGATAGAGGACCTCTTCATGGACTTCCAATCGCCGTAAAAGATGTCATTTACACAAAAGGTCAGTTGGCCAGACCTGCACCCATCACCAAGACCGGAGCTTACTGTTGCACAGACATGCCTACTCAGTTCAACTCGCCACTATACGATGGCCATTTTCCCGAGACAGATGCTGCTTCCGTACGAATCCTTCGTCATGCTGGTGCCCTCATCTTCGGTATGTTCTATATATGCTCTGCACACTTGCATCTGACAAGTTAGGTAAAACAACTACGACTGAGTTCGCTGCTATCCATGTCGGCCCCAAGACTCACAATCCTCATGACCCTCTACGCACCCCAGGCGGATCGTCCAGCGGCTCCGGAGCTGCTGTTGCCGATTTTCAAGCTCCCATGGCTCTTGGGACACAGACAGGCGGCTCCCTGATCCGCCCCGCGTCATTCAATGGGATCTATGGGTTCAAGCCAACCTGGAACTCTGTGTCTCGCGAAGGTCAGAAGATATATGCTCTTATGTACGACACTCTTGGATGGTATGCACGATCTATCGAAGATCTGATCCTCCTGGCCAATATCTTTGATCTTCGAGACGACGAAGACGACGATCTGTCTTTTCAAGGCATCGCAGGTGCACGTTTCGCAATCTGCAAGACGAGCATCTGGCCCATGGCTGGTCCTGGAACGCAAAAAGCTCTCGCCCGCGCTGCAGATCTTCTTAGATTACACGGGGCAAAAGTTGAAGAAATTAACCTCTCTGCTGAGTTCGATGATGTGCCAGAGTGGTATCGTATTGGGCTTCACACCGAGGGCCGTACCTCTTTCCTACCAGAGTATCGAGTTGGAAAGGACCAGATCGGCCAAGTCTTGATCGAGCACGTCGAGAACGCCGACAATTTCACTCACAAAACGCAACTAATGGCTAGCGATAGCTTGGCTGCCATGAGGCCTGTATTCGACTTTATTGCCTCACAGTATGCAGCCATCATCACACCGAGTGTACCAGACGAGGCCCCTGTTGGTCTGAAGACTACAGGAAGCCACATTTTCTGCGCAATGTGGAGTGTACGTACAAACTGTGTACGAATCCTACGAAGATTAACAATCGTGTAGGGCCTTCATGTCCCAGTCCTGAATGTGCCAGGCTTCAAGGGTGACCACGGCATGCCCATCGGTCTTTCCCTCGTCGCACCACGATATCGTGACCGCCACCTCTTGGAAGTCGGCAAAGCGGTCGGTGAAATCTTTAAAGCCGAAGGTGGTTGGAAGAACAAGTTGGGCGACGGAAAGACAAGGGGACCATGCTAAGAATAAGAGGAAAATAAACGGAAAATGAATGGTCACCAACATGTCGTGCACGTATTGTCGCCAAACTTGCTCACATATTGCCCGAGACGTAAGGGCTACAGTGACGTGTAGATTGAAGCAAAGTCCTCAAGTTTCTCGGGACAACTCGTCGCAACGCACACAGAAGAAAACTCTCATTGAAAGAATGGCAAAGCAGCAAGTGTCAGGCCAGGAGGTTATGGTGGGCGACTGTAGGGTACTTCAACCAATGTGCAGTGAGCGTTATGGCAGTAGGGTCTGACAGTCCTTGTACATCTGAGTCATAGTTTAGCAATGTCTGGGATGAAGGACTCTGACGAGTCCTCAAGCCTGGAAGGAAGTTTTTGCGCGACTTTGTGGTTGTAAACCCTTTAATCTCGATTTCTGCAGGATCGCATCGCTGTAAGGATGATATGGGGCGACACAGCCGGATGAGGGGCTGATGTGAAATGACGCAGGCGGGGTCTTGATTTTGGGGTAAGTGATCCAACGCCTTCCCCCACTTCGCGTATTCTGAACGCGCTTTACCACGGTCGCATTCCACATTAGACGCGTAGCTCAAGGCGGCTCACAGGACTGCGCACGTTTCGCGTCGGCACCGGCATCTCCGTCAGATACGGTGCGGCCGGGACTGTGGTACATTCGTCACACCAGTCCTTGTTATCTCTGAAGCTGGCCAATGCATTGAGTACATGAGAAGCGCTGGCTAACATGAAAGACCCGAAACGGATGTTTCTAGACGTCCTTGGCAGGGGCCAGCCATTGTGTCCTGTTTCCAGTGCACGGAACACGCACGACAATGCAGCGTCATGAAGTCATGGATGGCGATTGAAATGAAAAATACGATAGCAAGCATCCTGATGAGATCAGTTCGTACGAATAGCGGAATAGTATAATTGAGACTGGGCGTCTGTTATCCGTCGAGGGCAGAAATGCTGGGGCATTGTAGACAGTGATCAGTCCAGCCTAGCCTAGTTAGGACTAGCCTAACAAGGCCGCGTTGTGCGCCTGTGACGTTGGACGTTGCACTGCCGCATTTCTCGCCACGGGTGACTAAGTGCCAGGCCAAGAACTCGTCGTCAAGGCATACTCCCTGCCAAACTCATTCGAAAGAGCCATCGAAGCCACGTTAGCAGTCATACGTAGCATGTCGCGGGAATGCGAACCTATCGCCAACGGCGCAGCACACGGAACCCAATTCTGGTATAAGTTCTAAACACTGTATGGCTTTGCGGCAAGGCGCAGCGGAGTCTCTAACACTGAACCTTGATTCTTGATTCCCTTCGAGGACCTGCTCTCGTTTCGCGGACTCATCAAAGACCCTCGCTACCTCACATGTTGACTACGATGTCGTATTTACTATGAAGAATTTAGGGACCTATAATGTGACGAATGTCAGCAATGTCTCGAGATATATTAACAGAGTCACGGCTACATTCTACAAATTGATACCTATTCGACAGCTTACCGGGTGCTTGAGGGACATGAGCCCGTTGGACGAGCACCGCGGAGTTTCACGCGAGTATTGGATGTGCCAGTATGGGGACAGTTTAAGACCAGGTCCCTCCTCCGCAGCAGTATTAATCCGAACCTCATGTGTATCGTAAAGTATTGGACTGGTGCATCTGCCGAGTCTCTGTGTCCGCTTCCAACATGCAGGCATCCTCGAGCATGTTGATTCACTTTCCATTTGTGGCCGCGTGACTGTGTTTGAACTTCCTGAACGGGACGCACTCCTTGAATTTATGTACCTTTTCAAGATGTCTCGTACGCTCATCCCAGACCTGATTTGTCCCGTGTCGAGGCGGATTATCGTCGCTCAGGGCACCCGTAACAGGGCCATTGCTAGATCGCAGAAACTCATCACCGCAGTAGCTGCAAATATCAACTTCGTCAGGCCTGTTTTTCGATTCGTGAAAAGCCTTATCGTATCCGGAGAGAGCTGAGCATGACCACGAACGTCTACGGGCATGGACCGAATTTTCGTGACGCACTTTCTCGTTTTTCTTGTTGAGACGATTTCTGCAGATTCAACATCCGAATGGCTTTTCGTCCTCGTGGGCGCTAGTCGTTGGTCAACATCGGATTCATACGTCAAGCGTCCCACGCGGCCTGAACAGAGCAGGCCCGTGGGATCCGAGATCGGGTCCCACTTGAGTTCTTCGATCGTATCACAACTCTTTGGTTTTTTGCAGCACTCGCACATGAAGAAGCCCTGCACTTCAGTTGCATTGTGTTGCTGATCGGCTTGTCCTGGGCACAACTTATCAACTGCAGTGCCAACTGGATGACTGGAACGACTACAAGCGATATCTGCATCATGAAATTTATGGACGAGAAACACGAGGAGTATGTTGACAAGATGAAGGCTGCCGCCCCTGGTTCAGACTTCAGTGTCCTTGTCCAGTTTCAGCCTGTCACCGCTTTGATGGCGAACCATGCTCGAGAGAACGGCGGCAACGTTCTTGGCCTGGAAGATGTTACTGCTGATGGCCCCATGCTCATGTGGCTTATTGCCGTTACCGTCGATACGGCTGCGAACCAGAAGAAAATTGATCCCCTAACTCTAGATAGTTCCTTAGATTAATGTCCAAGCTTAGATTGCAAGAAACATGCCAGATCATATTATCACCAGAGACCGACGAATGTCAAGAATCATGACTATACTGAACTACCGTTCGTCAATTGTAGCAAAGTGCTTCAGAAGTTCTTGGTAGACTACCTCACTCATGTCAGTAGCATGTGGTACTTTATTCGATACTATAAACGAGGACAATACCTGGGACAAGCTCGACTACTTGATGTGTTAGTTCAAGACACAACCAGAGTAACGGTCGCAATGCACATTATGCTGGTTGATTGACTGTCTGTCTAGTGCACCATACTAAAATCGATTCTAGGTAGAATTCTTTTACTTATGCACGACTGTTACAAAATGCTCCTTGATGTTCTGCTGCAACTGTAGCAAGGCAGGTTTTGTCAGGTCTTGGGCGTCGTGGCCAGCATGGCCTCTATAAAGCAAATCATCAATATTTCCTTCGCAAAATCCGTGCTTGACAAAACGCTGTGGATCGTAGTTCACCGTTTCTAACGCCTCAGAGACCTCGTCGATCTCTAGCAACCCGATTGCTGTCCCGTGTCTGACGATCAAGTCTAACAGGAGATCATCGCCTTTCAAAGCTTGATAAACTGCGTGCTGGAGGAACGAAACTGCTGTACCGACATCTGGCTTCCAATACGTTGATACTAGATCACAGCCCCTCTCGAGAAAAAGAACCCAGATGCGGCTCCACCGCGGATCGAAAGAGTCAACAGGCAGGCGGCAAGCTGCCGATTGTCCATCGACGTCGGGAAGATTAACATCAGCACCGCAGTTTATGAGAAGTTCAACGCAATCAGCGTTCTTCCCGTCTACAGCACGCATTAGTGCTGTTTCATTCTCGTGACCACAATAATCCACATCCGTTGTTGATTCAAGCAGAAGCTGGACTGTGGAAGTTTCGCCATCATAAGCGGCCCGCATCAGTGGAGTGTGCCCATCATCCAGGTTCGTGAGGACCCTGCGGTTTTCGGATATTATCATAGAGAACAGTTGCCTCCGCAAGTGGCCGAACTGGAGCTCATCGGGAATAAGTCCATCGCGACTTTTCGTTTTAAGCCCAGATATAAAGACATGTAACTGATCGTCATTGACACACGCGCCCTTCTTGATCAGAGCTATGGCGCAGCGAAAATTTTGTTGTTTGCAGGCCAGGTCTAAAGGAGTTGTTCCAAATTCGTCGACTGCTTCTTGGTTGGCATTTTTATCGATGAGATATTTCACCATACTATCAACCGTCTCATCATAGCAATCTGTTGTGAGATGCAGGAGTGTGCGGCGATATGGACCAAATTCTGTGTCGATGTAGAAATCCTCAGGCGCGCAAAAAGCAGATTGGTGATGTAAAGCTTTTTCGAACATTTCGAGTTTGCCGTGTCTGGCGGCCCATGTGAGAGCCGTGGTTGCATGGTTTCGCCATAAATACTCATGAACAAAGGAGAAAAACCTATTTACCCTTAAGAGATTGTAGATATCATTGGCAAATAGGTAGCTGAGTATGTGATTATTGATCTCGGCAGGCAGATTGTTGATATTCATTATTTTCGATTTTGCACCCAGTTATCAGTAGGTGACGTAGGTGCATTTATGTTTTAGCCTTTGCACCAAGACGGATAAAGGGTTGACCGCTCCGTAGCCTTGTGTAATATCGATGATGCCTGAGGCACCTACCCTGCAGATTAGCAGGGCCTCTCAGTCCAGGACTCAGTGGGGCAAGCCAATGTTAGATTGGTGGCTGGGGATGGGCTCCACTTCCTTTATTACGATATTACTCTTGTATCCAAGAGAGGGGTTTCACCCCTCTCTGACAGATTGAACAAGAATCAAGAGAACAAGTCAATAACATCACAACGTTTGAATCCACACTTAATATGCTCACCCCATCGTACTTACGCGTATCCAACAGCCAATTAGCAGTTCGGATCTCAACACTATGAGTAAAGCTCTTGCTCTATACGAACCAATGTAGGAAACCATCAGTAGATGCCTCGAACAGCAGATTTGAAGGTCAAGCAGATACAACACTCAGTAACCCCTTTAGAGATGATACGTAAGACATACATTTACATTTAGAATGGAAGAAAATCCGAAAAGCCTGGTCGAACGCAGTCTTATGCGAGTCGAAAGAATCAGACTTTAACTGGAGACGTTTAAATCATTATGCGAAAAGAAAATATAGACCCTTCAGCAGTATTCATGGCTAACCAGGCGATTTTCAACCACGTGCAGCACACCAAGTACCTGGGGAGAGAAAATGTCATCTTGAGGGCCTCGGTCGAACACAGGGCCAACGCGTCGGCAGCGATGGCCGGGGAAACGATGGATCTGAAGCAGCTTATGACCCATTATCAGAACGAGCTGCAGACCACGAAACGGCGCAACCAGTCGCTGAGTGCTAACGTTCGGCAGCTCTCCAATAAGACGAAGGACATGAGGGCCAAGCTGACGAAGGCCGAGACCGACGCGAAGACCATGAGTCAGCGCAAGCAATGCCTCCAGAAAGACCTTGCCGTTGCCCAGGGAAAGCTGAACTTTCTCGAGAAGCAGGCGCTCTACGACGCCCGCGCTCGCGACGAGACTGAAAAGGACCTGGTCTCGGCCAGAAAGGAACTAGAGACGGGAATTGCCAGGGTCACCACAGGAGGGAATCAGACTTTAGCGGAAGAGTCCATCAATACGAAAGAGCAGACTACCGCTAGTGACACGAGGCATAAGAAGGGCGAGGACGCCAAGGCACCAGATCGGGGAGGATGTATGTCAACTTTTTGCTGGAACATGATCTAGTTGCGGGCTTATTCTTCGCCAAAGAGGCTGAATCCGGACCCTGTGACAAGTCTCTGCAGAAGCCAAGTAAAGTTTCCATACAGATCGCAGAGTTATCGGCCGTGAAACAAGCGCAGGAAACGATTCTAGCGGATTTTAAGACGGATAACGAAGCAAGGAATGGTGTTCTACGAGATTTTTCGCGTCGGAGAATGAGGCAGAGGATGACATTCTGAGAAGATCTGTTGCTGCTGAAGCCCAGAAAGAGCAGCAGGCGAAGAGAGAAACCTGGGAGATAAAGGAGAGCGAAAACCAAAATGCGAGACAGCAAGACAGCGACACACAGACGAAGGACGAAGATGCAATTTGAAGACGAGTAGAAGCCGGGAGAAGCCGAGGAGACACGACTGGCCCAAGAAGCTGGAGAGGAAGAAGTACGAAGGCAGGAAGGACTTCGTCGTGATCCCCCCTTCTTCCCCAACGGCTGGCTCAAGCAATCGAGATACAGCTTCGACGAGATACAGATTTTCGACTATGTCGAGAGTATCGAGATGTGTAATGATCGGTATTTCTAGATCGTACATCTGGCTACTCAGCTAAAAGACATCTTCTTCGACTTCGACACCGCAAAGCGGGATGCCATTATTTCAGTGTGCCAGGGATCTCATCGGTGCCGCAACTTGGGCCAAGCAAGATGATGCCGCAGATCATCGAGCGCGACAGCGGCTTTAGGGTTGCCTTTGTTGATCCTTCTTTCCACGCTGTCAAACTCGAGGAAGAGGAGGAGAGATTGACCAGGGCAGAGGAAATGCGGAAAGATAAGGAAAGACAGGACGAGGAGAAGAACGCTGAGGCTGCTCCAGGTGCGGCTGCATTTGTTGACGCGGAGACTGACGGCAACGCAGAGACTGACGGCAACGCAGAGGAGGCTCATGACTTTCGGTGCCCCTGCGGCGTTGACGTGGTCAATTGGGTCCTGGGATTTTTTATGTTGGTGTTCAATCGTGCCATTGGACTGGCTCGCTTCAGAAATCTTGGTAGCGGAACGGACCCGACCGACGCACTCAGCATAATAGCAGAGACTGGCGATGATGATGACGCGACTTCGACTGTCGATCTGGAATTGAGGAAGGCCACCCGTACTGCGAAGGCCATCGCGGCTGCTGAGGAGCTATCGAGTATTGATGATTACGAGCCTGCTGAGTCCGAGGCATGGACGACACTTCCATCGCAAGGCGTGAGCGATCTGGAACATACGAAGGGCAGCAACGCAGGTCCGGACGTAGAGGCAGTTGCAGCCGCAGCCTCCGTCGGTGATCCAGCCTTGGACACAGTTGAGTTTACCCAGGAGGTGCTCTACAATGGACTCAAACCAGAGAAGCACGATATTGCCATCAAGCGCTGGGGGGCTTCGATCAAGGGGCCTGGCGCAGACGAGAACGCGGAGGGATGGTCACTCGTTAGTGGCGACAGGCTCAGAGACGAGGAGTCGGATTGAACGGTCCAATCGGGCAAGTTCTGGACAAGGCCAATGGCCTCGCGCTGGTTCCTCAATTGATGGGGATCAACAGGCTGGGTCGATGCGATGTGAGATACCAGGAGGGCATGCATTCAAACACTGGGCAGCGAGGACGAGCACAGGATCTATTCTAACGATAGTTCTCTATGACGATCGTGTAGTAAACTGAGTCATTCGGAGTGGTAGGGAGGAGGGGGATCAGACAATCCATCCGGATACTTTCTAAAAAGTCTACGCAGGCTCGGCAAGGCAGCCCTTCTTTTCTTTCCGGCACTGTTCCTCTTCTAAACCATTTGCCTCTTATTTTTGCAACCTTTCACTACGTAGTGACTAAGTCGTGATTCCCTAACTTATTCCTTGTATGGGCCTCGCGGCAATAGGATCTGGGAATGGCTTACTTGCTTCCCTCCACCTGCTAGAGTATGCCCAATTTTCCCATACGAACGATTAGACTTGAGTCTCCAACGAAATTGCTAGTCTCAGTTGACTAGTTCCTGATCTCAAAACGGCCGTAAATTCACTCGGCAGATAAAGCCGGTTGGACAAGGTGCGAAATAGCCTGCAACTACACCCAGCCGGGAAAGAGAAATAGCTAAGGGACGACCTAAATACCTGAGTGTTCGCCAAGAGAACCGCCAATTCGTAATCCGAACTCCTTGATATTCCAGCCCTATTCGATAGACGTTTGAGGGACATGCAAAACAAGCGAGACTGAATCGTAGTCGGACAACTAACGACAGAATGAGTCAAGTCTGACAAGCAGAAGAAAAACTCTGTCTCTTTCGGTAACCTCCAGCTTTCAGCTTAATTCAATACATGTCTCGGACTTTATTGATAAACTTTTCAGTAGAGTCGGAGACAAAAATCTCCAACGTATCTCATGACTCCAACTCTATACGGAGGTACATGTGCTAATACAAATAACAAGAATGGCCCGGATGCAGAAGGATCCCTGTTCCTGCCGTAATCCTTCTGACCAGTACGGACCGCCTGAGCACGCCAAACACGGGAAGTGTCGTTGATGATTGCATAGCGATGGAGACAATCATCTTCCAACAGTCGTCGAGCTTGTGCGAGCCCGCTTGCTTCGAGTACTCGCGCACTGTACACCAGGATGTGCGCGTTCAAGTGGCGTTGATACTATAGGCAAGTCAACGGCTTCGTCATCAATGACTCAATGCTACCAGGAGGCTGAGACGAATTATCTATCCTTAGATTGGGAGAAATTTTCCGGGAGGAGTCTTCGTAGGTTCAGAAACGGAGAGTTGGAAATCTGAGGAGTTTGTCAACTCGAGATGACATCATGTAGCAATGATGTTCAACGAGGCAGCTAAATGCAATCACACTGTTCGCCATTCAAATCACATATAACCTGCCGAGACACGTGCGAGCGTATTTGTGAACAAGTGTCATTAGACTTGACCAGTGATTTAGTACAGATAGTGCATTGAGGAAGATGAGATAATCGGATTTGGTGAATAAGGAGATCAAAGATTACCGACTGAAGAACCTTAGAGCTATTCATGGTAAGTTATGTTTATGACTCACACTTGTCAAAATCTCGTTTGCTGGTGCTAGTTAGACAATCGAGACTGTGACAAAGAACAGGGTAGCCTCTGCATCACATCGCGGCTAACTATGCCAACGCAACACCAAAGCTCGAGCAAAAGTCCAATAGACTTGGGATCGACGGTGTTAAGATCAAGGAATTCGAGTGCATAACCTAGTCAAATTGCCAACGCAGCGGCCACAGGGTATCAAGACCATCCAAGTTTGACTCTGCCATAATCATGAGACTCTGCAAAAGTAACGCCCGTTCATTCGCAAGCACACCCCCTGTGCCTTGCATCTTCTTCCTTAGTTAGTAGTATGTTCTCGTGTCAAAGTTTACGACGCCCGCTCCCGTAGACTGAATGATGGGGACGGGGACAAATACCAGGGTAATCTAGATTGTAGTCTGCCTGCTAGGTGAGCCGGAACACAAAAGAAGCGTCTATTCCATTGCGAAGCATGCGAAGATTCAGAATCTTTGGATCACTCATACACAATCAATCATGTTTATTTAGGCGTGCAATATGAACACGGGATATCCTAGAATGTGGCGCTCTTTCGGATCCCCTGTTCCATAAACTTGACCGCAAGTTCGTTGCCGGTTATACATAGTAGAAGCCGCCCCCTTGGGTTATTGTTGGCTACGTCATACTGTGATGAGGCCCGACACGGTCGCATGGCTGGCCTGTACACATGGGTCTTGAGTCTCTCAAGTTGCTTCCTCTGACATAGTGTTGAAATGACCATACCAATTGATCCCAGTTCGATTGCCAACACGTGGGGTTATGCTGAAGGGTCTTGCCTTCTGCCTAGCCTTCGTGTTAGCCAACTGCAAAGCGTTGCCATGTCTTCTCCCTGTTCTTTTCGGCGATAATATGCATCTTAACTAGACATAGTGGTGAAGTGACCCCTTGCCGCACTCCCCATAACAGTTGGCCGGGTACGCAAATTGGTCGATTCCTGAACACACTCTTCGAGGAACTTCCAAAAGGCGGCTGAAAGTCTTTTCATTTGGTGCTTGTCCTCCATCTCTTGACCAAGCTATCCACAACGCCATGGCCACACCAACGGGCCGCATCATTGGGAGAGAAAACGAGGATCCTACCGGCTCTCAGCCTGCAATCACTGGCTTCTGATTGTCACACCGCCTTTTTCGTGGGACACATACTCGTGCTCCTGAGTTTTTATAAGAGTGTCATACTGCCATCCATATTATTCTGTGTTTTTAATTCCAGTCAACCAAGCAATACGTAAGAAAGAAAGAGCCCATCTGAGGAGATATTTGACCGCTAACATAAATTCGTTTCTGACTAGGCCATATTTACTTACTTGTCACTGCCTCAACTTGCATTCAAGCCTGTCCTACATGGGGCAGTAAACAGCACATGCCGTCTGCAAAGAAAGCGCCAAAGTTGGCGTGCGAAAGAATTATTCAGTGCCGCCCTTGCGATCATGGGTGTTACTCGCCTGAGACTAACTCTCCGTGCCACAGATGTGGCAAACAAGTTCCCATTCCACTATATATCGTCGAAAGGCCATATACACTACAGGCAATCGCGGTACTCGACGCTCAGGATTCCGTAAGAAGAGCTGTGGAAAAGCTTGGCAACCCCACAGTTCCTGCATCTTGCCCAGTCGCTTCGGTCGTCAAGTTTGAGTTGTCTGATAGTTCCATTTGTTCTATTGTTTTGGTAGTGGACCTGGAGCCCGGTATGACGAACACCTCGGAGTGTGCCCTCGAGAACGATCCAGTCACATTTCTTCACCGATACATGCAGTAAGTAAATTGGCCGACATGCCGTACTCGTCATCTTTTTTGTCTTTTGTGCTCATCACCCAAGCAGAATCATTCTCCATGTGCTAGACGGTCATAGAGCTATTATCAGCAGCTCAGAAAGTAGACCTCAAATTATGGGACAACATGGCAGTTCGGAATCATTGGACGAAGCAACGATCCCATCTTGGAGTGATGCTTGGTGGAGAGAAATGCGTGCTCGAATTAAAGGAGAGCTGGATGCGTTACATGTGGTCATGTTATTTGAAGCCAATCAAGGTTGGTCCCGTGGATCTTTGGATAAGGAAGCGTTGGAAAGACTTCGTCGTTTTCCAATCCCTCTTTTTGTCTCCGGAGAGACCATTCCCTACCTATACAATTTCCAACTGATCAGGTTCGATAAGAATCCGACTTATGTTGGGAATTGAGTCACTTTCTTGTTGGCTGCTGGTATGTCGCATATTTACACACCAAGGGAACTAGGAGTCGCCGGGACACTTCGCTCTGTGTCTACTATAGAACTCGAACTTGAATGTAAGAATGAATGTGGCTTTTCGCTTTTATGAAACATATTCAGTGCGTAATTAACAGGGGAACCGCCAATCCACGCTCCTTAGTGATGGGCAATTTTGGTTTGCTGAGATTCCGGTCCTCATCGCTAGACGTTTGAGGGTCATGCAAAGCAAGCAAAACTGAATCGTAGTGATATGGGCCGCTCAAACATGTCAGACACAGGAAGTGTTGATGATGATCTCGTGGCGATGGAGGCAATTATCTTCCAACAGTCGTCAAACTTGTGAAGCCGCTTGCTTCGAGCACTTGCGCAAGAATTTTGACGTTATACACCAGGACGTGCGCTCTCAAGTGCCATGATATTACAGACAAGTCAATGGCTTCATCATCCATGAGACACTCAATGCTATCGGGAGGCTGAGACGATTTAACTATTAACTTCAGAGGAATTGTCTGGGGACTGTTTAAACGAGGCAGTTACAGACGGAGACATACTGCATATTCTCACCATTCGCCTTTTAAGTCAGATATAACCTGCCGAGATACGTGAGTATGCATCACCAGAGGCAAAAAGAAGGCCATGTTCGAGGTCGCTCTTTGCTGATCCAAGCTGGTCCCGAGGCGTCTTTTATCACATGACACTCACATCCTGCGCATCAGCCTAATCTCAAATCCTCGGTGCCTAAATAAAGACACACAATTGTCAGCGTCTTTGTACTGCTACTGTTTTGCGAGGGGTAGAGCTGCATCGGAGCACTCTAGGACTTCACAGCCTACTACTACTACTGTACGGATAACGACGCCTGAGGGAATCAGAGATTGTTGGTTTGACAAAAAGTGTGTGTGGAGGCTGGTTAGCTTGCCATGATGGCGGATCCAATAGGGGCCGAGATCGTGGTGGAGCAGGATGACACCCCCTTTTCGACGCCAAAACGATCGGATCGAGTGATGAGAGCGACGAGCAAAGTCCGAGACACCGCGCGACAACTGGAGGACACTGAGGAAGAAACGCGAAAGACAACCCGTCAGACGACGCGAAACATATCGACCGAAGAACAAATCGACCGACCGGCCGAGGCCCGAAAGAGTAGTGGCAGCAGCGGCGATGGAAGGGCCATGCTACAGAAGGCGCTGGATCTCCTGGTGGAGTCGCACAGGGAGACAAAAAGATTGCAGGAAGCGCTGAGAGAACAGATGGAAATGACCAGGGAACTKCAGGRRACTGYTGCAAAGCAGGGAGAGATGATGGRCGAGATGGGCAAGCAGATGGCCGAGATGAAAGAACAGATGACCGAAGAACTACAGCGGGTCCGCGAACAGCTCGAAACTATTGCGACGAGCGCAACAGACGGACCACAACGATCATACGCTGATGTCACACGATCYTCGACATCTATGCCTTTAACCGATCCCAGAACCGCGACCTTGACCATTCCTCAGGTCCCTATGGACACGCTCTACTGCAC